GGCCGCCAACTTCACGCCGCCAGGCCGCTGGGCCGCCAACTTCACGCCGCCATGCCGCTGGGCCGCCAACTTCACGCCGCCATGCCGCTGGGCCGCCAACTTCACGCCGCCAGGCCGCTGGGCCGCCAACTTCACACATCTGTTATACGGCAGGTTCGTTTAGAAACACATACATCTTAAAGTGTTCCATTTTTCCAGAGTAATAACCCTACAGGAATTGTTATGCCATTGTTGTGCAAGCTCTGCTTACACTTCTTTAATATTTTGCATGGAAAACTAACCTTTGCTTTAGGCGATTTAGAAATGTAGTGAGGTCAATTTGTGTTTTATAAGTATGTTATATATGAAAAATGCGCTCTTGAAGTGCTTTTGTTTAATGGAGTACGTATATTGTCTCAGTAAGTGATTCAAGCGTCACGAATATTTATACCCCCGCACAACAAAGTTGTAAGGGGGTATACTGGAATCAGCTTGTCCGTCCGTCCGTCCGTCGGGTTTTCCTTGTCCGCCCAATAACTTGAGATTCCTTTGACCCACAGTCTAATATTTGACATGGAGGTTAGTCATGATTAGTAGATGACCCCTATTGATTTTGAGGTTACTGGATCAAAGGTCAAGGTCACAGGGGCCTTGACTTTCAAAAGCTTGTCCGCCCAATAACTATAGATTCCTTTGGCCCACAGTCTTCATATTTGGCATGGAGGTTAGTCATGATTATTACATGACCCCTATTGATTTTGAGGTCACTGAGTCAAAGGTCAAGGTCACAGGGACCTTGACTTAAAAAAGCTTGTCGCCCAATAACTTGAGATTCCTTTGACCCACAGTCTTCATATTTGGCATGGAGGTTAGTCATAATTAGTAGATGACTCCTACTCATTTTGAGGTCACTAGGTCAAAGGTCAAGTTTACAGAGGCCTTGACTAAATAAAAGCTTGTCCGCCCAATAACTTGAGATTCCTTTGACCCAGGCTTCATATTTGGCATGGAGGTTAGTCATGATTAGTAGATGACCCCTATTGATTTTGAGGTCACTGGGTCAAAGTTCAATGTCACAGGGGCCTTGACGACAAAAAGCTTGTCCGCCAAATAACTTGAGATTCCTTTGACCCACAGTCTTCATATTTGGCATAGAGGTTAGTCATGATTACTAAATGACCCCTATTGATTTTGAGGTCACTGAGTCAAAGATCAAGGTCACAGGGGCCTTGACTAAAAACTTGATTTTAAAATTTTCACATTTGAAGCATGGAGAATACATATCTTAGCAATGCACTGGCTTAGTGACCTAAAATTTGGCAGGGTGGTTGTCTTTGAGCTCTCAATGGTCTCTGTTGATTCTGACAAAGTGGTATGCGGGGGTATTCACGCCATGACAGTGGCAGTTCTAGTTTCAATGGTTTAGTAGATCAAGGACACAGGTTATTTTTTTAATTGAGTTGCTCAAACCTTTGAAACATGAAAGTGGCTCTTCTCATTATGGGTTTTTACACGGCGTTTCAATGAGATATACATTTGCCTAAAGTATCATGGGACAGTTATTCTATGGCTCAAGTATTTGACCTTGAACATCAACTTGAACATCAGCATTAAAATGGCTCTAAAATTGATGAATTATGATTTTTTTACGAAGACTCCATGAAAAAAATATATCATTAGATTAACAAGACAGTCTCCGAAGCGTGATTTAGAGTTGAACATAAATTATATCATTGATATTAAGTGTGGCATGTAAAATATTTAATACAAATGTTGTCTGAACGTGTTTTGTATGATAACAATATGCATTGTTACACCGCACTTTGGGGTCAAACGCACTTTGGGGTCCGACTTCGCACCGCACTTTAGGGCCCAACGCACTTTGGGGTCAAAATCGAGAAATTGACCCCAAAGTGCGTTATTATGCTACATATCAACGCACTTTGTGTTCAAAAATTCTGAAGGTGTCAACTGAGTTCTGCTTAAATACTGAGTTCTGACTTATTTTCGATCTGCGACATTGAAATATTTGAGGTGGAGTTCAATATTGCGGTTTGATGCTTAAGTGATAAAAGTTTCATTAATTTTACCACTTGAAATATCTAAAATTATGTCCATATAACAAATTAATTTAGTACATAAATTATTAATGTATCCTAAACTTAAAAAATGCTGCGAAAAAATATCATGTTCTGTCAATCATAACTTTTTGTGCCATATTAAGCCCTATTTTAAATATGATGGGGATGAAATAAAATGCAGTTAATATTTTTCCAAAAAAAAAAACAACAACTATAAAATACTCTATTGCAATGTTCTGGTGAAATATCCAGTTTCTAGATCAGACTATAAATAGTTAGTACATTAATTAGTTAATACATTATTAAGTTTATCAACAAACTTAAGTTTTTTGTAAGCTCCGTAACAACCGTTCGCCAGAGTTTTTTTAATGGGAAATCTTACATACTTCTTTCGAAATGGCAAAACATGAATATTTTAATGTTTGAATAAAAGTATCAGAGAAATTTAAGATACTTGTTACCTGAATAAAGTAGCGATAAATGTGAAAAAAAATTGTCATAAAAGTAGCAAAATGTAAACAATGTAGTATTTGACTTCCATATAAATGACTAATTCACTATAACTGTACACATTGCCAAAAAGCAACAGATGAAAAAAGATGGCCAATGACTAACTTTTGGATACTATTGAAGTACACCAAAATTAAAAAGAAGCTTAAGAAATACAAATAAAAGCACAATTGGCCTTTATAATATATGGGGGATCGGGACCATCCCGTCTGGACCCCCCTAGTGAGAACTTTACATTATTGTATTTTCTGATCGCAATGCTGACATTCAATCTCTGGCACAGCGCTTCACGACAACCCTAACAACAAGATTAGTAGTTCTCAAAACAGCTTAAAATTAGCGATGTAAAAGAAAGAAGTATTTTTATTTTGTTACAAGTTTCCAACAAATTACAACGTTGGCTTATAGCATTGTCAATAAATGCACAATCACAAATTACGCGGATGATTATCATTTTAATCAATGAAAATGCCATTTTTAGCGATGTCGATTACCGAATACTTCAGATAAATCTGACTGTCGAGTAGTGGAATATATACATGTCCGCCTGTTTTGGCGAGAAGATTTTTGTAAATTATTTACATCAGTGTTAAACAACAAGTTTATCGTGAACAAAATACATCGAAATTCTATATATTCAGTTTTCTTCGTATAACTTCCCCGTTGTGCAGGGGTAACATGCTCGTCCAAGGTGCGAGTGGTCTGGCGTTCAAATCCCAGTCGAGACAACTATTTTTTTAAGTGTCTTTTTTAAGCCACGATATGCAAGGATAAAATGTGGCTGTTATAAAAAGATTATCATAAATGATTTTTGATGCAACTCTGGTCATGCAAAATTCCGTATGTATCAAACTCAAACTGTTACAGTAAAAAATATAAACGCAGTCACTGCATCTCGGTGCCCTGCAAGATTAATTGTAGTATATAAAAATAAACTTATACAGGAAAATGCATACAGATATACAGTACGATTTAGTTGTAAAGATCAGAAAATACAACAGAGCTTGCAGCCCTTTGATTATGAATGTGTGACTACTTAAATAGTTTATGATATTTTTATGTCCTGCCTGTACGGACAACTACTTAAGGCCGGATCTACACCTAGTCAAGTTTCTTAAATGTCACATTTAGATAAGCTAAACAAATGGCCATTTCAACATATAATCAGGCACAATTTTTACTGAAATGTCTTATTAAGATTTCCCAGAATTTATACCTTTGTCTATGCTAAGACTATTATATTTCTAAAAAATGTATAAATAAAAATAAACGGGAAAATGATGCAATTAGCTAAAAACAATGGAGTTAATGAAAGGTGTACATTCTTTTGAAATAAATGGAAAATGTGAGAAAAATATATTTTGAGCTTATTAATTGATACAAATTCTTTACTTGATGAAAGTTCTTCACTCATTTAAAATCCCTGTTGATTCTACTATAATTCAGGACACATGTTTTGCCTCTATTCAATACCTTGTGTTTTGTTTACCATTGGCTTTGACTGCAATATACTATTTGAAACATCATGAGAATTCATTTTATTGATTGAATTTTTATGACCCCAAAGTGCGGTCGCTTGTATGATGTTAAAAAATGCATATGTACCTGTTTAACGCACTTTGGGGTCAAAATTGGACCCCAAAGTGCGTAACGCACTCTGGGGTCGGACCCCAAAGTACGTTACGCACTTTGGGGTCGAACCCCAAAGTGCGTTTGACCCCAAAGTGCGGTGTTACAATGCATAATATAAATTATACAATACAAGGCAAAATCTATCTGGAACGTGATACACTTTATTGTTAATTAAATGGTCTGTTTTGGAAACCTTTTTGGTAATTTTGCACAGGATTCCATTGAGTGTACGACATAAAAACTGTCCATTGCATTATAAATCTATTTTTTACTAAAGCGTCCTGGTGCCAATTTAACATGTTCTATAAAAAATGATAAATCCTACGTGGGAGATAATTAAAAAAGCCTAATTAGGACTTTAAAACTCCTACGTAGTAGATTTAAAGAACTATAAATAGGAGTTACTAACTCCTCCGTAGGAGTTATCATTTTTTAATAGAACATGTTAAATCGGCACAAGGACGCTTCCGTAATTTTTAGACGTAATCATTATTTTATCACCAATTCATAACGGTATTCGAAACTGCTGCTATCACTACATTAAACATTTCACAAATACTTTGATAATTTGATAGACTTATTCAACTCAAAATTATATGAATAGTAACCAGTGACATTTAAAACTAGTAAACGTGTTTGGTTAATTCATTGTTTTTGTAAGAACAATGTGTCTTGTCACAGAATTTACATCATTATTTGATTCAACTAATTATATATGGTCATTATTCAGGGTACAGAAGCGAAAAATATTTTTTTGTAATAAAGATTATCAGGTTGTTACATGTTTTGTTTGTTCAGAAACCATTACCAAGAAAAGTGATAGAAGAAGGTGTTTATGGTAAATCGTTAAAAGTGGAAGTTTACCCGTGGCATCTGAAGATTTATGATAACTCTAAACCAGATGATGTTATTACAAAAACTTTCAGCAGAAGTGATACAGTCCGTAAGATCATTTTTGTCGTGTCGTTTTTTTTAAGTTTATATTTTTGTCTTTTTTACAAAATTAAAAAAATATATATTGAGATATAACTATGGTCAACTATGTAAAAGGAAAAGAACAACAAACAAACAAACAAACTAATAAATAAATAAAAAAAAATAAATAAATAAATGAATTAATTAATAAATAAAATCATATTTAATATTCTTACATTTTCACATTATTAACAGTGATCAATTTATTCGATTCATATGTAGGCAAACTTGAAGAAGTAATGCGTAGGGAATTTAGCATACCCAATGATAAAGAAGTCCGGTTATGGAATATGTATATGACAAACATGTACGAACAGTTGGCGGACAAAGACAAGACGTTACAGGAGGCAGGGTTATATCAGGGTCAAGTAATCGTGATAGAGCAGAAAAATCCCGACGGATCATGGCCTAAAGGAATAAAAAAATAAAAAAATTGAATACAAAGTAACTAAAGCAATGAGTAGAGTTTTAAAATTGATGGAAAAAAAAATATAAAAAAAGTGAAATCGGATATTTAGCTAAAGGAACGATATTCATTAAAGCTATAACTACATTCCAAAGATTAGAACTATGCATTTATTTCATTATTTAAATGGTGTACTGTATAGAGGAAAAACTATTTTATAACATGTTTTCGATGGTTTATAGAGATATATCAGTGAAATATAAAACTGATAATTTCACTGTTGAAACAGTGAAAATATCATTTTGTTAAGTTCACTGTTTTGAATTTAAGCCCTTTCAGTTGTTTCGATGAAATACTAGCGTGCACAGTACTGGGAACCAACTTAATGACGTGACGTCGTTAATGACGTCACGTTGTTTTATTATTTGGCGAGCTTTGCATTTAGTATTAGGAAAACATGTCTTTTTAAGCGTTTCTTTGCATATAATAAAAAGAAAAGTTGTTAAGTTTAGTGTAAGATCGAAATTTATTTAACCTCGTGAAATCAAAAGTTAATTTTTCACTCGTGGCTGCGCCACTTGTGAAATATACCTTTTGGTGCTCACTCGGTGAAATATATTCCGATCTTACACTGAACTAAACAAATTTATTACCCTTCCAGATTTTTTCCGCCTTTTTGATTGGATATTGATCACCCGAAAGAAATTGATATTACCGAGCCAGACGGGTAATATACACACTAAATTACCCCGTTGGGTACCCCACGTTCTAAACAACATGCTCTGTGGCGATGCGCGTACGGTTTGATTTTACGCGATGTAAATTCCGATTTACGAGCATTTTTCAACTGTCAAATGATAAATATTTACCAAAATAGAGTAATCATACATATCCCATCAGTATTGAAAACAAATATGACATTGTGAAAGCTTGATATTAATTCCAAAAAGGTGCGTTCAACAGACTAGTCCTTTTCTCCAATTTACATGCGTTAGGTTCGAAAGAAAATACGTCATGTATTTATGTGACGTCATGTAGAGGTGAAGGGGTACCCTAAAGGGAATCTTATTTCGACGTTTCATTTGAAGTAGCAATGATTTATTTTAAGATCGTCTTAACTCGGCAGGGGAAGGGTAATAAAATTATTATTTTGGTTTTGGAGTGATATATGTGGATATATTACCTGTCAAGATAAAATATCACCCTCGCCTAACGGCTCGGGTAATATAAAATCTTGACAAGTAATATATCCACATATATCACTCCAAAACCAAAATAACATATAATCCTCTATATGTTCCAGAGCTGTATATATGCATGAGACTGAATAATAAACTTTCTGTTATGTTCTGATTAAAATATACAATAAACATATAAAACTTGCACCTTAATATTGCCTGTTGTAAATTGTCAGCTCTTAAGACATTTTGGTACATATATAGAGTATATTGAATAAGTGTAAGTTTAATACTGAATTTATTGAACGAGTTGAATAAAATTATATAATGCGAGCCTCTTGCGAGCATATTATTTTAATCAACGAGTTTAATACGCGGAAAGTCCGAGCGGGGCCGAAGGCCCCGCGAGGGCTGTAGCGCTCTTAGATAACATGTATGACGCGTATCAATTCAAATGAAATCAAATTCAAACTAAATAAAAATTTCAAAAAAAATATATCCTATACCTAATGAGCTGTGAAAAAATCCTTAGTTAATGGGCGCCGCCATTTTGAAATCCCTTTGAGCTAAATATAGATATCAGAGTGCTTTTAATGAGCGTCTGAATAATTCAGACTATTGCTAGCAGACGCATGCTAAGTAACACTTCCGGTGAAAGAATGATGTACAAAATCAGAAAATAAACCTGCATTTCATTGATAAGAATTAAAGTAACGATTATATATTAAAAAGTTTCTTTAACATATCATTTTTGATAAATTAGCACATTAAAAATAACGTTAAAACAACAACTGTGATTAGAGATTAACAAAAATGGAGGACGTGATTTTCCGAACGCCGACGCATGCGCAGGGGTTCCCCTTTATGTTCGGAGATTTTCGGAATATTCCGAGCGCTCCGACGATAGGTTGAACACCACCAATTTATTCGTTTTTGTTTATGGTACAAAATATCTTCAAGAAAGATCTGGTTTACATGTACACTAATATGTTATGCTAAAATCATAATTCATTAGAGCTTTCCGCGCCATAGGTAGCACCTAATTTCATATTAGCGAGCTCGACGAGCTTTACGGTAACGCGAGTACCTGCTAAGTGATGGTTTTGAAAACTTTCGTCCAAAGTACCAAATTGGACACATCGCAACCTTTCGAATTTAAAGATAACGGTAAAAACTGAGGAATTCTGACTGAAAACGGATGTGTAGACTGGTCACCTGCGCACGTCTATGGGAACCATAATTGGACAGGGAACCAGAATAACGGAAGCTGTGTATAAAAAATGAAAATCGAAAGCGCCATTTTGTTTGAAATCTGATAAATAAAAACAATTTTTTGTCGAATTTTGTTGTAAAAATTATCTAGAATGAAAGAAAATGGTCTAACTAAGAAAATGAATCCGAACACCAATATCTTTTATTCAGTCGTTAACGCTGTACAGACGTTTAAAGTATTGTTTACGTGACGTCACAATGTAGCGCCAAACAGCACGTGCAAAACAAACAAATCAAGTACGCTATTTTAATGTCGCAAACGTTTAAAGTTTTACAGTTATTTCACTTAAAATAAACTTTATTTCGCTTGAAAAATTATAGAGTGAAATAAAACAAACAAAGTTTTATCAACGTTTTCAAAACTCGTTATTCATTTCACGACAGGGACGGGGTCATATTTAACACAGTACGTGTGACGTCACACGCACTCCGTCTCGTCACTGCATTTGAGATTGTTTCATACTATTTCACGTAAAAAGTACATCGAGCTCGCTTTGAGGCTTTGCCTTTTTCATATTAAATTTAGTAATGAACTTACACGAATTTAATATTCTATTTATCACATACCAAAAAAAAAGAAGACCATTTGAAGTGATGAAGAAACATTTTTCATAGACGCGCTGTACGTATATGGACGTTTTGCGGCGCATGTCGTCCACAATTTTCTGACGTACATTTTGCGACAAGAAGGCATCGTCCTGCCGCATTACGTCCATATTATAAAGTTTATATAATTTTCGTTAATTTTGACCAGTTATTATCAGGAATTATTGTGTGTTAATTTTAGCTCACCTGAGTATGCGCCTGTCTGTCGTCCAAATTTAGCTTGTTACCACTCTAGCATCAAGATACCTTAAGCAATATGTCCAGAGTTATCTATCCTTGAATTACAATATCTGTTATATATTCACATTGGTACCATTCCAACGCTTTCATTTCTTCTTCAATCTTGACAATTTTCAACAGAATATCTATGACCATAAAATCTCAACAAAGTTAGATTATCGGCTAAATCTAACAAAAAACAAAACAACAACAAACGCAATATATTTCACCTTGTTAGTGCTTTCGTTTCTTCTCCATTCTTAAATATTTTTATGCAGAATATGTATAACAATAAGGTCTCGATCAAGTTCATTTATGAGCTAAAACGACTGAAAATGTCAAGAGTTATTTGCCTTTGAATAATAAAAATAAAGACATCTTTTAAAGTCAAATAATTGAATTGGGATAAAAATGCCAATCCTTTGTTATCAATGATCAGATGTCATTCATACATTTATGACAGGACGGACATCTTGAATAGTTCAACTATAATATTGACCTTGAAATGACCTTGAACTCAAGGTCACTATTGAATTTTGCTTAAATTACCATATCTTTGTCATTTACAGATATTTGGATATTGATGACCATTTCAGACGTAGAATTGAGTACTGATATCAGTTACCCAGATTCTAACCAAGTACATGAAATGTACTTGCTTTTTATTTGTAATATTCAATGCTATCTACCTTTGTCATGTTGAGCCTTTATAGGCAGGTGGGCGATATAAGCCACCATAACCTTTTTGCTTTGTTCAATTATAAAATTACATTGTTTAATTATAAAATTACATTATTGCATTCAAACAAAACGCTTACATTACGATATTTTAAAATATGCTTTAGTTTTTATCAATAGTACACATTGAACTTCTTCTTCATCATTTCCTATGCGGAAGAATGTTTGTTATAATATACTCTCACACATTATCTATGTAACTTATAGGCGAAATGTTTTGTTCTTCAGGCGATAAAATAATACGGTTTTAGTAAAGGGACGGACTTTCCGACTAAACTATAGATTAAATCATTTTTCAAAGTTATATTTTATGGTCAACAAGAACACAAAAAAAAAAAAAACATTCCCACTTCTTGATGCAATTATATGAAAAGCTATACTCTATTCGAAAAACATCCTCGGCTTAAGCATATTTCTTTTTTTAGGTATAAAAAAAGTCAGAATTATATAGGATCACAAAAATATTGCACTTTAATGTTTATTTCGTCATATCTTTACATCAAACAACATGAAAGTGACAGAACCAATAAAAGTAACGTTTATAATGAATATATTTTATTACAAAAAATATGGACGATATGCGACGCAAAGACACTCTCTCGTCACAAAACGTATCAAGTACGATATGCACCGCAAAACGTCCACATGTGTACGATCAATCTCCTACGCAGTGATCTCCCCTTATCAGTACAGAGATCTCTGCCATCACAAACATTGAAATATCCAAATTTGGATATTTATATTTTTTAGCTTTTTAATTTATTTTTCATTATTTTGTGTACTTTTGATAATTTTTTGTTAAAATATAACGGACGTAGGTACAAAAAGTTAAAAATAAAACAGAAAGAGAAAAATGACGTTAGATTTTCTATGTAACGGTCGATATTTACATTTGAATTTCGACGTTACGTCATGTGACTTTCATCATCATGTGACGTCTGTGAAGGCAGTGATTACAATTCTGCCAAGGGAGGTAATCAGTGTGAGGAGTTTGGTGTACGATATGCGCCGCAAAACGTCCACACGCGTACGTTTTGCGGTACGGACGTTTTGCGGTGTTACAACGCGCTTATAGTATAACGGTAACAATTAGCGCTTCTTAACGCTATGTTTATATAAGGCAAATGATGTCACGTCAAAATATATGCACGGCCGTGCAATACCATTTTTACGGAGTCGCAAAATCGGCACGGGTATATGATAAATAATTATAAATCGTTGTGTTTCTATAATAGCCATTCTCCGAACGTCTCTATCAAAAGTGTCGTTTTTGCATCCGGATATTTACAATTGTTGAAAGCATTTTTGCCAGTCTAAGTGAACTTATTTTACAAGATATTCAGAACCTTTTTATTTCAAGGTCCCTTATAATGTATCATTATAAATTGTGTTGTACATGATTTAGGTGTATATTTCTTAAAAATGTGAATACTTTCTTTATCTCACCTGTCATACTTACACAATTTAATATACATGAAGTATAATCTACATCTCTTGTGTCAATAGTGAAGTGAAATATGTGGATAAATACAATCAATACAATTAATCAATATTAGCGATATAATCATATTTGTTCTGACACCCTTTGTCATAGCGTTATGTAGATTAAATACGTTTTCGATTTAAATAGAAACATGAATATATGTCAACTTTATACTTATGTTAGTTTAGAACATGTGTAATTTTATTTATTCATCTATTTCAACTATTTGTCTTGGTAAATATTGAATCAAAATTCAATACATTTACATTTACTGGTGTGATTTAAATAAGTGAAATACAAACATTGATGTATATTATATTTGTATAGTTTGTCGATCACTGTATTCTGTATGTTTATAATTTCATTACAATAATAATGAATTGTATATGTTCATTGTTTTTATGTTGTAATAACATGTAGACATCAAGGAACGCAAAGGGAAGAAAACTAATGCCAAAAATGTACCATAGATGTAATATAAAACGAGTTTTATTTAAAAAATTCTCCAAATATGTCCAAAAATTATAACTGAAGGAAATAATTTGTAACACCATATTTCTGTTGATGACCTTTAATTAAACTGCGAATTATTGATTCAAAATTCCTTTTTATCGTAACATTTATACTTTGTATTGCAAAACAGAGAGCTACAAAACGTTTTAGATTTAGTACATTGAATATATGTACTAAAAAGGTCAATTAATCAAAATGTTGTTTTGTATCATTTTTCTGTAAATTAGTATGCAAATTATTGTTCCACGTTTATCACATGTTCATGTATATTGCATGTATGCTCATTTTATTTTATGAACAGAACAGAAATTTTATTTCGTATCGTATACAATACAGTGTCTTGTTACATTACACATATCAAATATTATAAATAGATAAACACATGATATGATTCAAAGATTTACAGTATATTGGAGAATGAACATATATTGATGCAGAAAAACTTGATTTTGTATAAAATAAATGTATATCAGAATAATATCATTTTTAATATCAGAATAATCTTATTTTAATATAAACATTACTAGCGAAATCTAAACGTTTACAATATGTATGAAAATAATAACAACATTTTAACGTTACATTTATGTATAACCTAAGCTTATCAACATATCTTTTCTTGTACTATTTGCAAAATAAATAAATTTACATAAATTTAATAATATAGACTTTTCATACGACTGAAGTAATTCTATGAATTTAAACATGCTAGGTTTTTTATAATAATATCTTTTAATGGGTTAAGTGCGTATTTCCTGGTACAGATTACAAACAAGTATAAAATGAAATTGTCTTCAATATCTTGTGTATTTCAAAGTTGACATATGCGCTCATGTCTTTCAAGTCTATTTCTACCATATCTACCAGATTCTATTCTTAAATTATGCGCAGCTATTCTGAGACGAGTTAATTGTTGTCTTGATTTCTTACACTTAATTTTATCTAAATAGCATTCCAAAGAAAAGTTATCCTTGATATGTCTTTACAATGTATTTAAAACGTTATTATTAACAATATCTGAAAACCATTTTTGTTTAAAAACATCAATGACTCTTTAGATTATAAAGTTCAGGACAATTCCACACCTCAGAAAAACCAAATTCATCTAAAATTCCTTTTACTTTATACGCCCAGTTTTTTACTCCTTTTTTCCACTGATTTAATGTATTTATATACACACATTTAACAATGATATTGTTTGAATGTATCACTTTAAACCAATATTTTATTATGTGAACATATCTATTAACATAAAGTGGGTATCTTCCTAGCTCACCATAAATTGCTGCATTGCAAGAGCTTATTTTCACACCAAGAATTAACTTGCAAAATTTCAAGTGTAATCTCTCTATATCTTTAGATTTTGTAAATCTCCAGACTGGACAAGCATAATTTATGATAGAGCCGACAAACATCAAATAATTGCAAGGAAACAGAAGGGGATATTTCATACTTGTTAATATTACATATTAAAACATTCATTGCTTTCAAAGCTTTACCTATAAGATATTGAATGTGAAGTACAAAGAACCCAATGTAATTAAATACTACACCTAGATAATTAAAATCGTCAACAATTTCCAAAGCTTCATTATTATAAAACCGACGTTCATGAGGAAGTACTGGTCCTCTATTCTGAAAAACAACTATTTTAGTTTTGGCGGTATTTACCTCTAGGTCCCATAGATTACAGTATTCAAATAAAGAGTTTAATCTTTGCTGTAAATCCTCTTGCGAGTTACCAATAATTACCATATCGTCATCGAATAACAATAATACTATACATATTTCAAATATATTCAATCCACAATCTATGTTCTAAAAATAGTGCAAACATGGCAGGCGAATTATTTTGCCCTTGTCGTTGCCCAACCGATAAATTGAAAAACTCTGAAAATGTCTTGCAATGTTTAACACACGACTTAACAATTCAATACATTGATTTAAAAGTTCTAAGTTACTTCCCATCTAATCCCATATTAAACAATTTATACCAAAATGCATTGCGGTTCACAGAGTCAAACGCCTTTCTTAAGTCGATAAAAGCACAAGGTAATCGCATTTTTTTAGTTAACACCTGGTTTATTAAATTATGTAACACGAAATTGCATCTACTGTACTACATCCTTTTCTGAAACCAAATTGAACGTCTGACAAAATGTTATTATCATCAAACCATTTTTCCACTCTATTTGTCAAGATACTTATAAATAATTTCCCACAGTTACCTAGTAATGTGATGCCACGATAATTGTTAACATAAGTATGATCGCCTTTTTTATGAAGAGGTATAATAAAGCCTTCAGACCATACTTCTGAAAAAAGCCTGCATCGAAAACTCTGTTAAAAAGATCAGTGATATGGCCTACTAATATATCAATAGAAAATATAAAGTATTCGTTCAACAAGTCATCACTTGGACAAGACGCATTGTTTCGGTTTAATCGCTTCACCGCATCTCTAACTTCTTCGCAAGGTATGGGAATATTAAGCTCTTCAGATGTAGGGTTACTTATAATTATCAGGATCAATATTATCATTTGAAATATTTGCATCAAAATTAGTTGTAGCCCTTATTTCTTCAAACATATTTGCAAAATAATTTTGGAAATCTAAAATAGGTATATCCGAACTTTGTGATACATTCACGTTTTTTGAAATGTTTCCAAAACTCTCTTGGTTTACTAGTTTTCATTTCATACAATTCTTGTGCCCTTTTAAGTCTATATTCCCGTTTTTTCTTACGTACAATGCTTTTAAACTCTTTTCAAGTCACATAGAATATGCCTGTTAGTTTCGTTTTTATAATTACTAAAAATCAACAAAACACAGTAAGATAATTACGCTTTTTTTCGTAGCATTCTTCATCAAACCAAGAACAATCAGAGTTTCCATCCTTTTTTCTACCTTTTCGCTTAAAAAGAGGCTCGGGCACATCTTGTAATATCTTTGAAAACTTTAAAACAATATTTTCAATGTCGCTCGAAGAAGAATTCTCAAAAATATTGTTTAAATCAGCCATTCTTCCTAATAAACCCCTTCTAAATTTATCTTTGTCAACATCACGCCTTTTAAAATATGTACTCTCACTTACTAAATTTCTTGGATTAAATTTAGTATCTAAGTTTTTAACAGTAAACAAAAGCGGTGTATGATCACTAAATTCATAAAATTGACATATATCGAATGCACTTATAATCTGAAAATTGCATTCTTTCAATAATAAATAGTCAATTGTACTGCTTGACTGGCGGCTATAATACGTAAATGCCCCTACGTTACAATCTTTACCTAAACGACCGTTAGCTAATCTCATACAAGTAGTTTTACAAAAATCAAGAATCTTTTCACCTCTTGTGTTAACAATCGGATCGGAAGAGGCCCTGCATAATGGTGCATCCGGAAAATAATCGTATTTTACATTATTATCACATACTATAAAATCTGATTTATTGTCTACTCTCCCATTCCAGTCACCTACCTTACCTAGGTCTTCAAAATAAAAAACATCATTAGTTAACATTTCAAATAAGTATACATTTTCAATACTCGCAATAGGCGAGTCATCAAACCACATATAAACTCCACATAAATATATATCAGTCATTGTCTTAAAAACTCACTATCCAGTTTCATCCATATAATTGTATCACAATGGTTTCTTACAATAGTTACTCCGTTTTTAATAAAAAAATTTTTTTACATATATAACAATTCCACCGCTGTTTTTTTTAACCCTTTTATGTTTAAATTTTGTATAAAAATTAAAGCATGTATAACCATTAATTTCAATATTGGAATTTTGACAATAAAGATTTTGTTATGTATATTGTTTTCATAGGCTTATCAGCTTTATTTGATTCAAATAAATGCCTGTGAAATGCAATCAACGAAAAGAAGATCTACATGTAGAGAGTTGCATGAATATTTTTTCCTTATATATATATATATGCGTCAGCAATCATCTTCTCTGACTGCTGGACAAATTCACTTCAAAAATAGTCTGTAGTATCCTTAAGACAGTCCCGCTGCAATTCGCTCATATCATTTCAGTTAGCCCCTAAAAAGGGGCCAACAGAGCTAAAAATAGAAAAACCTTAAAACATCTTTTTCTACTGAACTAAGTGATGAATGATCACCACACTTTGTCTGTAGCATTCTATGATAATCTGTTATTAAATTTTTTCTACTGTGTTATTCATGTAATATTGAAAAACATAACAAAACAACTGGTGATATAAAATTACTAGAAACTGTAATGATTGTTTTTCTGTATCAGCCGACAATTACCTACGGTTGCACGTGCGACCAACCAGCAACCCCATGTTATTTTATGTAACTGCAACTACTCGGCTGCTTTCGATTTGTTAAATCATATCTATGGGTACGTAATATAGAATGTGGTATATACTTGCCACTATTTTATTTTCACTAGGTATTCTATTAATTGAGTTTTAAAACTAACAAAATATTAAAAATAACATTTGTCTATTTCAAGATTTTGGAAGCTATTAACTTAATTTGATAGTAGAAAAGATAATTTTCAACAAAGTGTCATTTCATGACATTCCTATCTATGAAGCTGGTAAGTCAATTAGTAAATGTTTTTTTTTGAGTACATGTCCCTTGTAGATGCCATCACGTCAGGTGCAAGCGAATGGAAAGGTAATAAGTAATGTTGCATTTTGACGAAATAAATGTTGACACCAATGTTCTCTTATTTACATTAAATGTATACATGTATCTTAGATTAATAAATTTATAATCTTAAAGTTATGATATGTTATATTGCACATGAATGTTTGCAGAATGCTTAAAATTGGCAATACAGGATTTACCCATCATTCTACAGAACACATCACCTCGTTGCTAGCGCCTATTCAGAAAACTAACTTTTGGTAGGATAAAACCGCCATTAAATTCCCGTAGATTGTTTGACATGTCTGTAGCTTGCAAAATCACTCCTTTGGTACCAGAGTTATATTATGATATTCTCATTCAACAGAACAGGGTCTTTCAGATATATATTTTTAAGACCCTGAATAGAAGAAGATTCTGCAGTTAACTATTTGAAACCTTTCTTACAACATCAACATTAAATAAACAATGTCAAATGAAGATTTCTTGTATTTCACAAGTTGCTGAAGTTTAGTCAGATTGACTTTTTCTATGTATCAACACCAGGCATGTATAGTATGGATACGACCGGAAATATTTATGTGCCCTCTGGTTGTCGGGATAAATTAACCAGTAAGTGACGAGTACTAGCTAACCATTACATATATACAGGATATTCAAGTTTTTTTCCTATAAATACAGGATTTATTTTCATCGAGTGGTATGAAAATAAATATTTCACGAGTGGTTTTATTATTTATATTTATAATAGAAAACTTGATTTTTCTGTTTATTATATACTTTTATCTTTTTAATCTTATGAAAGAATTCCCTTTTAATTTTGTGTTTTGACTGAATTTAGAAAGAAGTAGTCCGGCAAGACACTAGTGAAAATACGGAAAATATATTTCACTGCAGTAAACACAATTTAAGTCGAAAGTACGGAAATGAAAATACGCATTTTATTTCATCAATAATTCTTATCTTTCATTTATACGTATTAATTTAATTGACACATGCTAAAATCCAAATATGAGTGTTAATTAAAACATTTAACTTAATTATCTTTCTTAATTTTTTACCATTAAAAATTTAGATAATTCGTTGAAAGTGATTTACTTGTCTTCCAGAATGCAGACTACACGTAGCTTTTCATGGCTGTGCAATGGGACAGTTAGTAATTTTATAGCATAATTGAGCCGCGCCATGACAAAACCAACATAGTGCGTATGCGACCAGCATGGATCCAGACCAGCCTGCGCATCCGCGCAGTCTGATCAGGATCCATGCTGTTCGCTTACAAACCATATTACAAGAACGAACAGCATGAATCCTGATCAGACTGCGTGGATGCGCAAGCTGGTGTCGCAACACACTATGTTGGTTTTGTCATGGCGAAGCTCATATATTGTGTTAAAATGACTTTACGAGGGTGCAATTATTCTTTAAACTTGTACATGTAATTTATTATTTATTTCAAAACTACTGACATCATGATGTTGTGAATAATAAATATAATGATTTGTTATTAGCACAGTTTAAGACTCATTTTGAGACATTTTATCCCAGACCTAGACGGAAACAACGTGAACTTAAAATCTCGCAAACGATGCTAAGATAATTGAAAAAAAAATCTTAAAATCGTGGAAAATTCTTCTGAAAAAACGTTTACAGTATAATATTTTTTACAGAAGTAAGATTGGGGAGGCGTATGTACGTCACGGAGGTTACAACGAGGTTGGAGAGCTAAATGACATCATCATACTTTATCCTCAAGCAAAAGCCTCTACCGTACCATTCAATGTTGCCGGTTGCTGGGACTGGTGGGGGTACACTGGAGCATTATTTGGTGCGTTATACGTACATTTTAAAACTTTGTACCACGTGATATACACGTGCGTATATTCGAACACATTATGTTCATATCACAGTTAAACGTTATAAAACCGCAACATATTAAAAGTATTCAGAAACTATTAAAAATTGAATTGTAATTTTGACCAAGATAAGTATGTTTAGTTATATCAGATAATAGTCAACGTGAAGTTAAGTTTTATGTTAATACCTTCAGCAACAAACAGTGGATTTCAACCAACAGCCATCAAACGTATGATCGACAGAGTTGCTGGCTTGTGAATACACAATGTATATGTATAATTCTGTAAGTGTTGATATAAAATAAATAAATAAGTGATTATTTTGAGTAGAATTATTTTTTATAGATATGGATATTTATGTATCTTTTTAAAAGATGGACGATGCTGTAAGCGCATACCCAAGTGGTACAAATCTAATATTGTATAAGGGATATATGTTATTATCACCGCCTATTTTAAAACGTTTCGTGAGTTATCATATCTAGACATTTAGGAAAATTAATACTTAGAATATTATAACAGAAATATTTTAAGCGAAAAAGGTTTGGGGCACCTGCATTAGACTTTGGCAGATAATTTACAATAAAGGTACCTTACATGTAGTTAACTTCCGTTTGAGTCATTGTGCAAAATTTCAAGAACGAATAAAGAACGGATTTTTTCTTGTGCCATTTCGTTTTTTTAAATGGCATATTTTTTATGAATTATAAGTCCCTTTATTCAATTTGAAAAATTGTAACATAAACGATTTATGGAATTGCATTCTATTTTGCATTGTGATTTTTACTTAAAGTCCCGAAGTAAAAAAAGACATAATATGTAGAGTTATTGCCAGCGTGTTTCTTGCGCTAAATCACGGCACGTTTTGGCGTTTATTATCATTCAATAAGATTGTAAATCATTATGAAATGCAGTACGATCATCCTTTGCACAAAAATGTGGATAAAACGGTGGTCTTAAGTGTCTGCAAAGGATAAATAGGTGATAGGGTATCATAAACAGTACAAATTGAACCAGCAGCCGCTGATATTCAGCAGTGTAATGGCTTAAACCACAAAACAAAAATGTCTCAAAATGTACACGTTGTTCTCAGCTTCACATGTTTTAAGCAACCACCTTTCTTAAGCAGACAATATATAGGCAAGCTCCCTTACCTAAGGGCTAAGTAAGTTGTATCATTTTATACAATAATAAATAAGTATATAACCAGGATAATTTCCACACCTATGTCTTAAAAAGTACGATACATGATAAAAACTCAACTGCGGTTGGCTCTAACACAAATTTGAACTGTCCCTCCAGGTTCGAGCGAACTAAGTTTGACTATATATTTTTGTTATCAATTAAAGCAAAAGTAGCAGAGTTTACTCCACTAAGATTACATAGGGGAAATACTCATCAAACATCGACAGAAAAATATACATGAAAATACCATATTTGAGTATTTCAAAGCTCATTTTATCACGTACATTGTACATAAATGCCCTACTGGTTTCATAGCAGTTCCCGGCCCCAAATCAAACTTTTTAACAAATAAAATAAAATTCTGTCTACCGAAGAGTGCAAACTTTGACAGAACAAAGTTAGGTACCTGTCCAGCATTACCATGTTTTAATGTTGCTCTTTTATTTTACATTTTAATGGAATAAAGGCCTGAGATGTAACACCTTTGCTCACATTTATTCAAAATTTCATAGCAGTTTTTCGGACCTTTTTATTTTGAATATAATTCAGTACCAAGAAGCAATGTTAAGCTGGGTTTTTCAAACTTTTCCGTGTCGTTTGCAAATATATTTTTTTCCTAGAATGGGATTTCAGTTATTATGCATGGGCATTCAAACTAAAATTCCCCAGGTGTTGCTTGTAAGTGTCGCAAGTTCTCTAATGTAACTTAAAACAACAGACAAAACTTTGAAACATATTAATCGCTGTACTATTATAACTGCTGTTTTACATAGAAAACAAATGTTTCTCTGATTGATGCAGTAACATAGATGCTTTACTGAGAAAAAATAGACTGTATGCCTGGATGAAAATGATAAAGGGCCAGAATACTGCTAGGAGCCGGAAACTGCTAGGAAACCAGTACATAAATCCTTTTTCCAGTCTACGAAATCTGCGTCAAACAAAAAAAAATACTATGAAAAAGAAACGGGGATAAGAAATAATATCTCTTGAACTAAAATTCACTGTAAAAACCAACATTATATATATCCTATTTTTTTGCGCAAAGGATGAGCGTATTATATTTCATAATGATTTACGGTCTCATTGAATAATAAAAAACACTAAAACGTGCCGTGATTTAGCGCAAGAAACACACTGGCAATAACAAAAGTTATCATAAGAACTCTGTGACATTTTCAGAGTTATCACAAGAACTCCGGGCCATTTGAAAAATCGGGTATAAATCTGTTAGTCGGTGCTTTATGTTTGCAATTTTGTATTATAATTAGGTAATTATGTATGGCAAGGATGAAGACCAGAAATAAACAGGTCAATACTTATGAATTGGCAAATAACTTGGAAATTTTACTGAAAACTACCAGATTTATAGCAAGAGACGATTAAAAATGGCCTGTGAATTAGTTTTTGACACACAATACAAGATGTAAGACAAGCTTAATTATTAAAGTTTAATTTAGCACCTAAAACTTATTTTTGAAAGATGAAAATAACCATTTTTGACGAGTGTTTTTGTAGTATATACAGATGCTTTTCGACGAACTCCGTGACAGTTATCACAAGAACTCCTGAACAAGTTATCATAAGAACTCCATCCTTCGTGTAACACTTCCTCCCCCATGTTTATAGCCAGCAGAAAGGACGGCGTTTAACATGGCAATCTTCGTGGGTTTTGTTTCGTATTAACTTTAATTTAATCACGTTTAACCTTTACTCATTTTCATTAACCCATATGTCACTGTTTGTAATGTAAGAGTAACCTCCCTGTGACGAGTATCGTATATCAGTTCACATGTACACAAGGAAGTTTAAAAGGGTGTTAATCTTGATACCGATTTAATTGTTTTGTTGTACAATCTATGAATTAATGTGACATACGTCTACTGTTTATATTATAATTAATAAACTAATAAAATGGCATCAAAATACGCTACTGAAGATCTAGATTCAGATGAAATTGTAGAAATGTATTGTGAATTGTGCAAAAAGAAAGGTAAATATCGCTGCGCTGACGGATTTTGTGTGAATTGTGTCAAATATTTTTGTAAAGATTGTTTATCATATCACACCGAATTTTTACCCGATCATGTACATAAAGACAAGACTAATATGCCACAAGATGTGTGCTTAAACCCGTGTCCTAGTCACAGCGAGGAGATCATCAAATTCTACTGCTCAAGTTGCAACATGTTTTTCTGTTCTGAATGTAAGAAGAACGACCACAAGGAATGTAAAAATGTTCATCATTTACCCGAGCTTGTAAAAGATCTAGAAAAAGGAACAGAATTTTTGAACCTAAGGCAAAATTTAGGTGCAGTTGTGGAAGAATCACAAATACACGTTTCTGTTCTGTCTGAGGCTAAGAAATTAATGGAAGCAATGTGTAGTGCGGCATTGTCAGAAATAGATTCAATGAGGGACCAACTTATCGAATATATAAATAGAAGTGTTGGAACAATAAAATCAGATTTGAAATCAATAGAAAACGCAGAAATGAAAACAATCCAAGATACTTGTTCAAAACTGTCTGCATTGATTTCCGAGACATCATCCATGAAATCTAAGATGGAACAGAAAGTACGGGAATGTAAAAGATGTGAATTATTCATGGCCATGAAGGATATGAAAATGAAGCAAAAAACTCTACAGCAGAATTTATTGGAGGTGAAGCGACACAAGTTGAGAGAATTTGAGTTTGAAGCAAATAGCAGTATGAAATCTTTGATGGAAAATCATATTCCGTTGGGAAATCTAGTTTTCAAACAGAATGTAGGCACCACCTGTATAAAAGAGGAATCCGCACAAATGGAACAGATGGTAGGAACCACCTGTATAAAAGAGGAATCCTCACAAATGGAACAGAATGTAGGTACCATCTGTATAAAAGAAGATTCTGCAAAAATGGTAAATATAGTTTTGATAATAATGATATTTACAATGACCCATAACACTCATTAACACATTATAGTGGTAGTGATAATGATAATGACAACAGCAACAATAACAGCAACAACAGTTATAATAATAATAATGATAATAATAATAATAATAATAATAATAATAATAATAATAATTTTTATCATGATGGGCTGACTGAGACAGGACATTGTGATGAGGAGGTGGTCATCAGCTTGTCCGGTGCTGAATGTCTTCCACAAATTAGGAATTATCTAGAACTTATTTCATAATATTAAAATTCCGTCGACAGTTTAGATCATGCTATTACTTCGGGAAGCTCATATGTTCTATGACACTCTGTCAATAAAGTGTAATTTGCTTTGTATAAATAACTTGTATAAGAGGTGTTGGAAAAAAGTGTCAAACATTGCATTTCAACATATATTTATATATATTTTACTCATATTCTATTTGCTTATACCATTAAAGAGATGAGCAAATGCTTATTTGGGTTATTCTGATGGTCTAGATTCTCGATTCATTTTGAAATATGCGGGAAAACATATTTTCCCGGTATGTTTTTTAAATAAATACATAAAACACTTGTACAGTGATCAATATAAAAGGCGACATAAACTTGACATATTTGTATTCAAACTTTACATTGAAATAATTTTATATGCAGTCAAAGCCCCCTGTAGAAGTACCAGATGTAAATACACAGAAGTCGTTTGTTGGAAACCAATTACAGAAACCATTAATTAAAGGAGAGACATGGTAAGTTTTTATTTGAATATCTATATTATGTTTTTGATATATTTAATATTTATCTACCCATCAATAAACTCGGAAACTTTGTACCATCACAGTGTTTTCTAACTGCACTCGTATCACACAAAACAGCGTTTCCAATATAATTACACGATACTATACATTTTATATTTAAAGGCACATTAGGTCCCAAAAATGCCTTTATTTTCATTTCTGTAGAGCTTTTTATTTTTGATGTACATTAATACTCGTACATGTAGTTTCCAAAAAAGTTACTCATTGGCTAATTATATTAATTACCTTACACTTAATAAAGTTATTATGATTCATTGTTTTATATACATATCAAAAACTATTTGTTTGCATTTTGATACCATGATGACAAATTATTTCACATGTAGGGCTACTTTTTTCAAGTAACAAACATGTTGTAAAACCGCTA